GTGTGGCTCTAATTCCTCACTTCACCATCTGTGTCTCAGTTTCCCGTCTCCAAAATGAGCGTACGCATGGGTCAGACACATTTTCACGTCAAGTTTGGATTTTATAAACCACAACCTTGGCATGAAAAGTGGCGTACGCAAGTTTTATAAATCCGACCCCAGGCAGTTTATTGTGTGACACCGCTGACGCGGACGTAAAAAATTGACCTCTGCGAGGACCAGTCCGGCAGACGGCCGCTTCAGGTCCACATTGAGTCCACCTCGAGTCCACGTGGACCTCTGCAGAGCAAAGTACGCCCGAGTATGTGGGGGCCTTTAGTGTTTTAGGGCTAGTGGAACTAATATTTTGATTAGTGCTGCCCATCACTGGTGATATTTCTGTAGGAGGTGCTACAGCTAACTGCTAATGCTACCAAGGCTCTTGCAAAAAAAAAAAAAAACTGAATCCTTTGTAAAAAAGCAAGTACTGTGAAATACACGGGTTATAAAATGGTTGTTGTGACCTTWTATCTACGGAAGTTAAAACCCTCATTTTAAAATATCTGAAGAGTTAAATGAAAAATAAACCAGTAAAGGTTCATTACAGCTGACTGGTTCTGACTGTATCACAGGATAACTAATGAACTTACAGGAAAACCATTTGAGCATCAGGTAGTGTCAGGAATCGTTCTTTTTGTATCTAAAGATTTAATTTGAGTTTTTTTTTGTTTTTTGTTTCCCTGATGTTTTCTGCTAGAAGATGCTGGCACGCTGCGCCACGGAGAGACGGTAATTATCGCCCTGGTAACGGTCTCCGTGCTTGCTGTGGTCGCCGTGGCAGCCTTCTTCGGTTACCGCATGATGCACGGTGAGTTTCCATGGCGCCGGCGCTCCCGAGGACGAGCGAGGAACATTGATTATTTAAGGCCTGTTTGAAGGTTGTTTCTTTTTAATAGAAACCCCTTTTTTGTTTTTTTGTTTTGTTTTGTTTTTTTGTTTGTTTTTTTTGCAAACAGAACCTGAGCCAGGCTTTCATTTAGAGCATCATGTGTGTGTTTACAGGAGACGGTAAACAAGGCCTGCACAACCTGAACATGATGGAAGCTGCTGGCTCTGAGAGCTCTCTGGACCTGGACAATCTCAAACTGCTGGAGGTCAGTGTCTGAGCCAGGGCCCACGCTGCCTGRCTGAGGAAACACTTTGCTTTAAGCACAAAGCTGTGTTGATCAGCTGACATCATCACAGACGTGTTCCTCAGCGTCTGACAGGCAGCGAGGGAAAAGAAGAAACACACAAAGATAGAAAATACACCCAAAAATACATCAAGGTTTTTAGTTTCTTTGCTGCGTTCAATGTGACTTTTATCATCTGATCACAGCAGGATGAATGAAGGGACGGGTCAGGAGTACGAAAATAGAAATTTGCTTTCACCGGCACATGATCCTGAGAACTTGATATGGAAGTGGGGGTGTGGGGGGTTGTATTGTGACAGGAAGTCAATAAAGTTTGGAGGAGTTTTCAGTAATGATGAGGTTAACAAGCAGAGGACTAAAAACTGTGCTCATGTCTGGGATAGGAAGACTTGTTCACACTTTACTAACTAGATAACTCTTCACTAACCTGGAAACTACAGAGCTCTGAACATGATAATTTGGCTCCGCCCACAAGTAGCCGTTAGTCAACTATTAAAGAATGTAGATGTCTGACGGAAATCCAGAAGCTGGAACGGAGCCTGCATCCGGGTCATTGTGTATTTTTTTAGGCGTTAGTTTTTTCATTTAAAAAACGGATGTGAAAAAAGTGGATTGTTTTATTTCAATGTTATATTCCAGATCCATATCATGTAAAATGAATTATATTTCTTTTGTTGTCAGTTATGCTTTCTGAAATGAAAGCAGAAATACGTAAAGAAAAGGAAACAGAAAAAAAAAGGCTTTTAAAACTGTAAAAATGTTTTTAAAATGCAACAATGAATGACTATAAGGAGTACACGGACCAGATGGGTGCCAGTACATGATTCACTCCACGTAAACAAACGGGACATTTTCCTTTGTATAACAAAATAAAATAAAAAAATTAACAAAAGAACACCCTAAAGTATTAGTAAGTTAAGTTGTTTCATGTAGTTCTTCCTCTTTCTGTTTCTACGTTCACATGTTCATTTATTCAATATGTGTAGCTGAAGTTATTTCATGACACCACTGGTGTGTTTGGGGGAGTGGGCGGGGCTTAAATATGGAGATAAATTGGTCTCAGAAAGATTGTAACGGCGCATGGATCGGCTCATGTGTAAAAATGTTTTTAGAGACTTTCTTCCCGCTGCAGATTCACACGTGTAATGCTGCGTTCAAGGCTGGAGAAAAGCTGAGCGCTCCGAGCTTCACCCTTATATCAAAACACACAAAAAAAAAACCTTCATTAAACACATTTTCCTGATAGTTTTTTTTTCTTCACAAAAACAATAGCCTAAACATTTGGAGATGTATTTCACCTGTGAAAGTATAGAAGTCCTACAAAATGTACCATTTAGAACCCAGTAATGTCAGTGTAAAGTGTMTGTTTTAATATACTGTAGGGCCGAGGTGCCCAAAGTGTGGCCCGTGGGCCAAATTTGGCCCGCCAAGCCATTTGATTTGGCCCACCACCAATTGTCCTGGTTACTAGATTGTAATCTGTCTTATGTAGAAACACTATATTTCCACTTAGTCTTTTCAACAATTGGTCCAACTATACGTACAAGGAGCTGTAGTCAGATAGTCTTAACTCATGGTACTGGCTTTCTTTGAATTGTGTTAAGATTAAATATAAAATGCAAGTAACTTCAAGAGACATTTATCCTAGATTTAAGTCCATATCTAGATTTGCACACCTTATAAGACCACATATACTCAAAATTTAAAATTATGAAAAGACTCAGGAGCCTTTGCTGCCTGAGCATACGTTGAATTTTCTCCATGTTCATGGGCTGAAAAATAACCAAACAAACAAAATGTGGACAACCACAACGGCTGCTAGCTTAAATAAAAAAATGCAACTTTACTTGAGAAGTATTTGCATTTCATGTATTATATTATTGCGTTTGGCCCGCCCCACTTAGACTGATTTTAATTTTGGCCCTCAGGAAATTTTTTTTTTTACTTTTGGCCCTCTCAAGGAAAATCTTTGGGCACCCCTGCTGTAGGGTTTATGAGCCAAATGTCTTTTCCCAATTACCCAGTAAATGTGGTAAAGCTCAGATTTCCCAGATTTTCAGCAGCCCTGAATGCAGCATTACATGTGTAAAAGTCTCAGGCGAGCAGATCCGTGCACTCGTGTGAATCTCGTTGAGACTGATACCTGAAGCGTGCACAGACTCTGGATGTAAAAACATAACGGTGGTAAACAGGCTCCATGGCTTCAGTTCTGAACAACAAAATGAGGCAGATGTTATTGTTTAGTCTTGTTGAACATATCATAAAACATTTCTTACATAATTATATTTAGCAGATTATTTTTCTAGAGCTGATGCATGAAATGAGCCCCCGCCTTTCTTTTGTTTCCTAACTTCCTGGAGTTTTTCAGGCTTACAGTTTGGTTTAGCTGCCTTAAAAACAACAGATCTTGACCCGTGCTATGAATAAATGTGCTGAATTCGGCTGTTTGGAAGAGGCACATTTTTCCTGCCTTTCTCTGACAGCTGCGTTCCGTTCTGTCTCATATGGATCAGTCAGCGCCATAAACTGAAGGCAGTTCATCAAAAGCAGCTGTATTTCTAAAACGAGCCTTTTTCAACCTAGAGATCTTATTAGCAAGAGTTTCATTCAGACTGCTGTCCTTGTGTCATATCATTAAACTCCCTGCCTGCTGAGGGGGAGGAAGCCAGGAACTCTTACTCACAGACAAAACATCTTCATTGTTTTCCACTGTGTGTGTGTGTGTGTGTGTGTGTGTGTGT